TATATATACTGTATATATATATATAATGCCGTTGAGTGTAGATTTGTGAAAATTTACAAATGTGCATTGTTCGAGTGTTTGTGTTAGAAAGAGTAAATGTAATTAATAAATTTGACATTAAACATAATCCAAGTTGAAGTGTTACATCATTTTCAGTCCCCTTTTTGGCATCTGCATTTGGTAGAAGGCCAAATTGACTAAGACCCTGTAGAATAATGTATTATTTTAATTCCACAGCAGAGAAAGCTATGTAGTCTCTGTAAGTAGGTCTAGGGGGGGAAAAAAAGGTATCGGTATCGGTCAAATAAATTGTAACTTATTGGCATATTGGATATCAGCCACAAATCCAATATTGTGCATCCCTAGTTTGTGTGCATGCATGTGCAAGAAGAGAGGCAAGATCTTTCTGATTTGAACTTGTTTGTGACTAATGCTCTGCAGTGTGCTGTAATCATTTCAAGACAGTAAAAGTGAGGCTCTAACGCAACACAATGTGCCAGATAATTGGTCTAAAGTCCAACCCTATTCTCCCTTTAGTTCCTTTGGCCTTGCTAATACATGAATCAAGTGAGCGTTGGCTAAAAACTGTAATCTTCCTTTTTATGACAGTTAAGTGTCACTGCAGGATAGAAATCATGATATGAGCCCCATAAAACTAAAAGCAAAGTGTGCAAACTCAGAATATTGCAAGTCAAGCTTGTGCCACAGCAGAATGACGTGAATGCAAAAAATGAAATAAAATAAAAAATATGCAAAAAAAACTTCATGCATTTTGTTCCAGAGTCATTCCTGTTCAGTCTTCTTTAGTCTAAGGGATGGAAAATAGTGGGGCAAAGGACATGATGGATGAGAGTGAGCCTGTGCTACATAACAACCCTGTACAGTAAGACGAATAAGGTACCAGAGTAAGTGGGTTTTATACTTCTCATCGTCACATCTTGTTCATTTCTTAGTTTCATCAAAGCTTTGAAATTAAAACTATAAAAAGAGGCAAATCAGAGTTGAGGGAGGTAAAGCAGTCAGCAGGTCTGATAATATTTCTTGTTCAGGAATATTAAAATCAGCATCTAATGACCTTTTCTTGACTGTAACTACAGTCAGTGTGATATGATATGTTACATCACCACCTTGAAAGAAGCTGAAACGGAAAGCAGGTCCTACCATAGGAGGAATCCACCACTTTACTAACGTTATTATCACATACTGATTATTCTTGTGTCCTTTCTAGATTTTAATTCTGTTTGTTAAATGGATTATTTGATGTTGTCATCATAGCGCTTAACTTTTATGACAATATCCTACGAATGCCTCACTGATGCCGAGGTAAACTCACAGCGGATGGAGGGGGGTGGGGTTGTGTTACATGGAAAGGGGTGGGGGTCAGGGTGGGTGGGGGTTACTGGATTTGGCAGGTTGTGGATGAGGTTGCCTGGCAGCACATGCAGGTGGGGTTGACGGATTTGGGCGGGATCAGATCCAGGTCCTCGTCGTCCGGGATCTCGTCTAGGCGGTAACCGTCTTTCAGCAGCTGAATGTTCAGATCCTGATTGATTTGCTGAAAAATAGATATTAAACAAATGTGTGTTGGATGTGTATATAATATGTAATATATATATTTTAAGCTTGTACAAGGGTGTCCCCTGTTCAGTTCTGATGATCTGTAGCTGAGGAGCTGGAGTTCTCCACACACCTGCAGCTCTGTGGTTACATCCTTTAAAAAGTGGTGCCTAACCCTGGTCCCTGAGGAACACCATCCTGCACATTTTTAGTTTTTTGTTCCTCTGCTCCAACACACTTGATTCAGTGGTTTAATTACTTCCTTAAGTTCGGGATAAGCCTGCTAATCACCCTTTCATTCAAATCAGGTGAGCTGGAGCAGAGGAGCAACTAAAAAATGCAGAGTGGTGTTCCTCAGGGACCAGGGTTGGGCACCACTGCTTTAAAAGATTCCATGCCAAGTGAAATCCCGTAAGTTATTCAGGTTTTTTTCCTGAATGCTGAAATCAGGGGTTGTCACTGGTCTTGTGAGTAAATTCATTGTATCATAGCTTTAAATCACTGAGCAAAGAGAGCACATATTATGTAAAACAGTGACAGGAGAGGAAACTGGACACTGATATCGCTGAAGAAGAATGTCTTCAATCATGGAAAACAACCCTCTTCAACTAATTCACACAACAACAATCAGATTTCCTTCCTTATTACTCCTACACAGAAACACGACGATGCCCAGCTGTGCTGCTGCAGGGAGTGTGTTGAATCTATATATTTTTTTTAACCCAGATGTTTTTGGACCTGCTGATTTATCCAGCCCTTTCAGAAAGATGTGATTACAATCATCCCCCTCTTTTTTTCAGAACAACATTTACGTCTCAGACACATCCCTGAAGGCGTGAACAAACATGACTTTAACATTTGGAAATCATGCTGGTAGCAAGCAAGAAGGTTGTTACAAAACACCAGTAACACGATTAAACATCCCCACCTACTGGAAAAAAATAATATATTTCATCTGGCTACAAAAAGAACTGGGAGAAAGATGATGGGGGAACAGATTTTGTGTAACTTGAAAGACTGTTCATGACTTTTTGTCTGCTCAGAATGTGTGTAAGAAAAATATATTTACTGATGCTGTCTGTCATAATCTTTAGTTTCATAGGTTTTAGATTGTCCTGATTTGTGTTTGTTTTTACCATTTGTGCTAAGTAAGCATCAAAACTCAAATTAAAAGTTTAAAATATATATCTTTTTCCCAAACTTCTCATCATTGAACTGGTATCACAAATAAATGCATTTAGGAAACTCAATGAAAAACAAGTGGCATTATTTCCACAAAAACTGGATGATGTTGAGCCACATTCCTTTTTTCTGTGATGCTTATTATGTCTCAAAGGCTCAAAACTTCCCCCTATTTACTCGCTAATTGATGCTTATTTGGGAGAACTTAAATTTATCTTCCTAAAATTCTTCAATTTTATTTTCTGCAAATAAAAAAAACCGTTTTACTTTGCAATAATTAGTTCTTAAATATGTAACAAAGTAAAAAAAAAAAATTCTACTTTGAAGAAAAATTGAGCAATGGATTGATTTTAAACCTTATTTTGTCTGCCTCAGCCCAGAACGCAGAATCATGTGACACTGCGATGTCAAATTTTTACTTTTTAATAAAAAAATTAAAAAAAAGAACAACCCAACAGGTGCTGGAAGAGGAATATTTGTTAACAATACTGAACTGAACAGTTTTAATTTAATAAAGAGATGTCATAAACGTGCGCCGCAACATGGCAGCGCTGACGAGAGCTCCGCTTCGACTTGCACATGTTTTGTTTTTTTAGCTTTTTGCGCCTGCACTGCTCTCCACACTGCGGGTATGACTACAACACACTTTTAGAGTTGCGATTGTCAGTGAGCGGGGACTTTGGGATGATGTCTGGAGACTCTGCGGTGGACATTTTCTCCTGGGTCCTTTGTTTACTTGGACACCGTAAGAGGAAAACACAGCGAGGGAAACGAGCCGGTGTTTTGTGCAGGACCTGCCAGACATGCAGCAAACCCCCCTCTCCCCTCAGTCCTGCTTTTGGGCCTTCAGTCTCTAAGGACTAGACCGGTTGACCTGCGCACACGGATTTATTGCAACTGGGACACGAGGGATTGCAGCGTCTTTGCCTTTTTGGAAACATGTCTGAAGCCGCCCATCCTCGACTGTGCTGTGGCTCCGGATGACTTCTCTGTCTACTGACTCGACAGAACTGTCACATCTGTGACGTCTAATAAGTTTGTTGCTGCTGCACTGAGTGGCTGTATCATGTGTGTCGCTGCCTTTCCATCGTTGTTCAGTTCATCCCAATGCTGCTCACTGCCTGTGCACTGGCCTGTTGCACATCCTGTGTGGTGTATGTTGTGTGCATTATGTATCATGTGTATTTAAGCAGTGTTACTGCCTGTGAGGTACTTGTTCGTACTGATGCATCCTACTTGCACCGCTGTATTCTACCATGTTGTTTACTATATTTCTTTTGGACCTTGTAGATGTTGTATTTCTTATTCACATTTTGGGGCTTTGTTTCGTACTTTTGTTGCATGTGGTGGTATTTGTTGCTATTTTTGATGAGTCTGGACGGTTGTTCTCGTCCTGAGCATTTCATTGCATTGCTGACCTTGTGTTGACCTGCATATGACAAATAAACAATAAGCTAACTAATTTTGCGTCACTCCATTGCGAAAGCACTAATGAATTCATAACAGTTGCATGTCAGTACATATGTGTTTAAGTTTAAGTAAGGACAACTTTTTCCAACGTGAATTCATCGGGTCAGGGCTAAATAGTTTTTACTAAACTCTAATTAGAACTAAATGTGTTCATGGTTGACTCTGAGTCTTTATTTTAATTCAGCCAAAACTCCATATATACATTTCTCTAGTTTAATTATGGTAAATAAGAGACTAGAAAATACGTTTAAAAATTCAATGGGAAGTTAAGCTTAAATATTATAGAAACTGCACTGATTTTCAACTCATCTGGTAACAAGCTTTGACCCATAACATAAAAAGTTGACCTTTGGTACATATCAAACCCGAGAAGAAAACGAAACAGTGAACCACAACGTGCTCCTGTTCTGTGACTCATGTCCGTTGAGTTTTGGGGCTGACGGTGCACAAACATCGAGCCTGGCGGTGTTTGTGAATGAGATCAGTAGAAGGTTAAAGTGGTAACCATGGCAGAGCAAGATGAAGCGTTTTCACTCACAGATGGCTGCAAGCATCATCACTTGGATCTTTGCTATGATGATGACAACCCTGCTGTGATACTTCTTGTGATTTTAAATAATAATAAAAAGGTTTTATTATGTAGAAACGACACCAAATTATGTTGTGCAATCGATTAAATACACAGTGGGTTGTGAATGTGTTCACCCCTTTGGTATTCTTTTAGAATTTAAAGCGATATTTAAACGCGAATATAAAGAATGAGCCGACAAAATAATCAATCCATTGAGTTAAATAGAAATAATAAAATACAAAACTAAAACGTCGTGCATATGAATTCATCCATTTTGTTTTGATACCACAACAATCCATTAGAAGCTTCATTATTACAGTAGATAAATAAGGTTAATGTGTGCGGTCAATCTAAGTGTCAAATGTTGCACACCTGTTGTAGCAGCCCCCAGAATCAACACCTCTACGAGCAAGAGGCAGCATGAACACCAAGGAACTTTCCACACAAGTCCGAGACAAAGTTGTGGGAAAAAAACAGATCAGGTTTGGTTGATGAAAAAAAAATCTCATAACATCCCATGGAGAACATTAAATCTTTCATTAGAGAATGAAAAAAATATGCCATTAAAACCTGCTAACAGAGGGTCATCCACTAAAATCTTACAAACTGGGTTGTTGTTTCGGCTGCTCCCTTCTGCAGGGGTCACCACAGCGAGCTGTCTCGCATGAATGTTCAGGCATTTGTTACACGCCTACACGCCTTTCCTTATGCAACCTGGGCTTGAACCTGCAGCCTTAGGACCTCGGCACTGACCACTGAGATACAACAGCCCCGATAAACTTACAAGCTGGAGGGTGTGGGAAATTTACCAAAAGGTAAACGCCTTAAAACATGCGGAGAACACCATCCCTAGAGTGAAGCATAAGGGTGGCACCATCATGGGGAACTGGTCAGAGTTAAAGGAAGAAAGGATGCTACAAAATCCAGAGATTTATTTTTAGGAAAACCTGTTTAGACATTTCTGATTGGGTTAGAGCTTGCAGAGACGGCACACCTCTACAGAATTGCCACAGATAAGCAAATAAATAAATGTAAATAAGTCTCGCTCTGAGTTTCTTAACAAGCGTGAAGAAATGGAATAAAAAAAATGAAGGATGGAGGGAACATAACATGAGCAGCGCTCTCATCTCACCTCAGCAGAAGAGTATCCTGATGATGAGTATCTGGACATGTCGAAATCATCATCGCTGAAACGTAAAGACGAATCATCATCATCATGTATTTATTACAAGTGTTATATAAATGTGCTTTTGAAAAGAAAGAGGGCATTCAGGTGTGCGTTTACCTGTCTGTGTCTAGGGCCACCAAGGGCTTTTCGTCTGGACTCTGGTCTAAAGACGAATAGCCTTTATTGGGCACTACCAACCTGAATCGAGGTGAAAGAGAGGACAAAGACACAAAAGATCAGGAGCAGACTAGAAGAGGTGTGGGAAAGACAGGAAGAGGTGAGTACAAGAAGAACAGGCAGAAACGATGGGAGGAAATAAAGGCGGGCCCGGAGGCAGAACCACTGCTGAACTACAGGAAGAACGGAGGAATGAAGGAGGTCTGATGTCTGGCACAGACATTTTACGAACCCTGAATCAATACTACTGTTTCTGCAGCCTTACTGCCTGACTCATACTGGGAAAACATCCATATGTCCGTCCATCCATTCATTATCTTCTTCTTGTTCCAGTCGAGTTATGGGGGCAGCAGGGGGCCCGGACCTCTCTTTCCACAGCCACCTCTTCCAGCTTGTCTGGGAGAATTTTGAGACGTTCCCAGGTCAGTCAAGAGACGCAGTTTCACCACCATGTCCTGCGTCTTCCCCAGGTTCTCCTCCCAGTCGGACATGCCCAAAATGCCTCCCTTGGGAGGCACCCAGTATGCATCCTTAGCAGATGCCTGAAACACCTCAGCTGGCTCCTCTATGCATAGGAGCAGCGGTTCTACACCGAGTCTCTCCCGGATAACTGAACTTCTCACCCTATCTCTAAAGGAGAGTCCAGCCACCCTGCAGAGGAAAATCATTTCAACCGCCTGTATCCGTGATCTTGTTCTTTCAGTCACTACCCAGAGATCGAGACCATAGGTGAGGGTAGGAACGTGAACTGACCGGTAAACAGAGAGCTACTCCTTACAGCTCAGCTCCATGTTCACCACAATGGACCAGAACAGTGTCCACAATACTGCAGAAGCTGCACCAATCCATATGTCGATCTCACGCTCCATTCTTCCCTCACTCAAGAACAAAACCCCGAGATACTTGAACTCCTCCACTTGAGGCAGAACCTCACCCTCAACCCAGAGAGGGCAATCCACACTTTTCTGACTGAGGACCATGACCTCATATTTAAGATAAGATAAGATAAGATATAACTTTATTGATCCTGCAGGAAATTGTTGTGCCAGAGTTTCAGTACAAAGGAACATACACAAGGAATCATGCAAAATATGAAAAAAAACAACAACAGAGAATATATACCAACAAATAAGGTTTTAAACAGGTCAGGTACAGACAGAAACATTAGTTTATTGTGGTGCAGGATTAATTTTATTATCCTATGTGTAGAAAAGGGGAGGAGTTATAAAGTTTGATAACCACAGGGAGGACGGTGCTGAGCCTCATGCCAGCCATAAAAACACTAAACCAGAACAGTTTCCCCACATTTGTTATCTTTGCCACCAAACACTTTACTGACAGAAGTGTCCACACATTTTCTGAGCACAGAGCTCACATCTCACCGTGTTCTGGCCATGACGTTGTTCTTCTTGGGCTGCTGGTTGACTGGACTACCTACAGTGGAGCCGTTCTTTATTGAACCCTTCCTGGCCAGCTCTCTTTGTTTCTCTGCACACGAAACACAAACGAAAGCACACATAAACGACTTGAACTCACAAAATAAACTTCAAAATAATATAAGACTTTGAAAACAGTTTGTGATGAACATATTTTACGACTCAAAGAATATTTTTAGATACCGCTTGCAAATTAAGAAATAAAAACTAAACAATGGTTGAGACATTTATGGAAACAAAGCTTTTTCTATAACTTAAAAATTTGAAAAGATGTTCAGAAGACATCAATACATTTCAGATTTTAATATTATGAACAATCATAGTCAAAAAATGTTTTTTTTTCCAACTAAAATACTTTTACTGCTCAACACTCTGCACATTCAGTAACAAAGTACTGAGCATCATATCGTGCCAGATGAACAAGCAAACGACTCGTCTGTGACGGGCCATCACCAATTGCTGCAATCTTAAAACAACTCCAGTTTAAAAAATGTCCTAGTGGTTTATGATAACACTCTTTAATAGACCTTTACATCACCATCCGTTCCACGTTACATGATTATTCTAGCAGAAACAAAAATCCAGACTGTACCAGAAGTACAGCTGCTGCTGCTATTTGCATATCCAAATAACACAGAAACTTATGGCAATGTTAATGTTTTATGTAAAACAGCAGTCACATAAAACATCTATGAATGATTTGAGATTGCATTTAAATCAGCAGTAATCTACCGGTACTTTCTTCTTGGCTCCACTTGGACTAGCTCTTCGCTCATCATTCGGGTCAGAATTAAATTCCTCCAAACTGAGGTCATTCAAAGAGCTATCTACAGCAGGTAAGATATTGTTGTTTAAAGCCTTTTTACAGAACCCCTCTGCTATTCTTTGATATTAGATTTCTGCATGGGGGATCAACGTGTTCATCCCCTCTTCTTTCCAATTTGTTTCCCATCAGCAACAAACAATATTCTATGAGTTCGCAACAACAGTGATGTAGCATTTAATAGATTTCTAACTAACATTGTGCCACAAGTAAATAACATTGCATTACTACCAGTAATCAAGGATAGACTTTTTATTATAATAAATATTTAAAACTGTTTATCAGTCTATTGATCACAAAGTCAAACTGACCAATGCACAACACACAATATAATCAGACTTGACTATATTTGCACAGTCAAGGAAAGAAATAACTTGAAGGACATGTAAAGACCTGTGTGTTACTGTGTGTGGTACCAGTCTTAGATATTTAGGGTTTTGAATAACAGCAGGACCAAGACGTGTCCTGCTCACCATAGGACCAGACCAGTTTCCTGAAATCCATCTTTTAAACTTTTAAATGACTTTTTGCAAGAAAAATATTCAAAGCTAAATGATTTGTGGCTTAATTACCAGCGTAATCAATATTGTTCAGTAGCTGCAGCCCTGAACGGATGAACGTGGCATTAAAACAACAGACTCTAATCGGACTCCTCCAGAATCTGTCTCAAGGTTATATTTCATATTTTATACAGTGTTTGTGTTAAAACACACCAATCCCCATGTTGTGCCTCCTTTTTCTTCTAACACCACAGTTCTTACCTATTTTCATCTGCAGGGGTGAGGGCTTGTAGTTGATAGTAACCGGTTCGCCCTCTCTGGTGTCTGAGTCAGCCTCTGAAGCAGTAGATGAAGCAGGATCCTGGTGACAGACACAGTGAGGACAGAAGGATGAGCTGAACTCAGGCAGGAAGTCATCGTTAATGACATTTTGACCACAAAAATACTTTGTAATGCGAACAAACAGGTTACAGGCATGACTGATCTGTGTCGATCTAACCAGCCTGGGGGTTACTAGAAGCTGCTGGACTCAGGTCAGGCTCCTGAGGTTCTGGTCTGGTTCTGAGCAGAGGCCGCCCTGCAGGCTGCAGTAAGCCCGGAGCTCCGCTAAAGGCCACGGAGCGCACCGCCACCTTCTCTGTACCATAATGTCTTTTTTTTTTTTTTTTAAAGACAGAAGTATGGCTGGATGCTGAAACACGAGCTAAAGCTCCGGACATGAACGTGATTTGGTGACGCAGGTGGCGTCGAAGCCCCGCGGAGGATGCTGAGGATGCAGCAGTCGGGATGCGGGATGTTTACGCGTGATGATGACGGATGCTGCAGCTGACCGTCCAGAGGAACAATCCTCTTTCTTAACACAGCAACCACGTTCAGACCCGTCATTTTAACACTTCACTTCGGTTTATAGGGGAAATAAAAACGTAACCACGTCATGGCAGATGGTGGATACGTCGGGCACAGCGAAGCAGGCCTCGTCCATTAAACACCCTGCACCTCCTGACTCTTTGGATTAAACACACAGTTTCCGCTGAGGAAACAACCCGACTCACCAGCGGCTGCATCTCTGACTGCATCTCCGCCTCCTGCACCGCACTGGGCACCTGGAATCTGTCGATTTCTTCCATCATTTTGGCAGCAGGCGTTATTTCCTCTCTCCTCCTGAACCACACGGTCCTGATGCTCGCTGCGCTTTCACCGAGACTTTCAAGGCGGTCAGACTCGGAACCGGTCTCCTTGTGATTCTCCGGCGGCCAGCTTCATCCCAGCAGGCTCATCCACGGTGGTGTGACCAGTGGTGACGAAGTACGCCACCACCCACTTCCGGGAGGAATCCCAAGTGAAGGTCCGGGGACCCTGACAGGGCCTTATGGAGAGCCATCACGGTCCACCAGTGATTGGGAGGATTTAGTGTGAATATGTACCTACACCAACACTGACATGATTATTTATATTTTATTCAATTCAGTTCGACAGTGGAAAGGAAAAACTCCCACATGAGTCAAGTCAAGTCATCTCAAAGTTATTTATATAGCACTTTTAAAACAGTAACTTGTAGGAGGAAGAAATCTTTAGCAGAACCAGGCTCAGGACAAGCGGCCATCTTTTTCATCTGGCTGGGTTTGAGAGGAACAGGAAGGAGGAACAGATACACAATGGCAGGTCGAGAATCACATGTTAAGATAGAAATAGTATCAAATGTAAATTATGCATTTGTAAATATTCATCTTGAAAAATTAGGTTAATTTGTCCTCCTTTTTGTATTGCAGACTAACAAGTTAAAAGGCATTTATAGTTACCCTCCTCTTCCCTGTGATAAACCTATTAATATAAAAAACATATCAGACAATGCATGATTTTAAATAATCAGGAGATCTAATTAGCAATGTCTCAGCTTTGATTTAATCAATTTTCAGTATAGTGACTTTATCTTAATTTAAACTAAGACCAGTGTACAGTAATTTGTAGTGCTAAAATAATGACACTACCAAATGAATCTTAAAAAGGAGGTTGGTGAAGTCTGGCTCTTTTAAAAATGTCACTGACAAGTCTCGGTTATTTAGCACTTCTTTTTAAATTTGATGTATTCTCCATTTCTTCAATGATATCTCAGAGCAGCTGTTTGTTCCCATAAAACTACACCTCCTCCATGCTCATGCTCACTTCACCACTTGTGCTTGCCGAGGTCGGACACTTTTCCCTCCCCTCCCTCCCTCTCTACTTTACTTTGCTGCTCTGTCTGTCTGTGAAACTGCTTCTGAGCCTCTCTTGCAAATCGTCCAAACCATAATTATGGACTTGTTTTGATCAGTTTGTCCCTCAACACAATTTACAACATTTCTTCAAAGAGAAGACAGGCTTTAGGCGAGCTGATTTGCCCTGTTAGCACGCACGCAGCTGGATATCTCATCAACTTGAAGACTTGATGTTTTGTTTATCTCTGCTGCCATTTGTGGATTTTAAGGATGCATATTTAATTGGATTTACGATAACTGGTTCCTGCTTTTTGGATTCGGCTGGTTGCTGGTTTTAATAACAATCAAGGAAGTCGTTGGCAGCAAATTGAGACCCAATCATGCTGCTTGCCTTAATGAAGGCTTGGTTCGTGCCTCGAGTACCCAGACTCAAATGCTTTGGGCAGAATGGATCAGATCTCTGGTATTTTACTCAGTCACATTCCATTGGTGTGGCCATGTAATTTGGACATTTCGGAACCGTTTGGACCAACACAGACTCCAGGTAGATGTCATTAAGTTCTGCCTGTCCCCAAAACAACTGTGTGTTTATCTAAATTTGGCTGCCCTGGCTGGCCTCGAAGAATTCTTCTGGAGAACATGTGATCTGACGCTCCTCCTCCCCGCCGAGGAACTTCCAACTGATAACCAGATGAAACCAGCTAAATAAACTCTTGGATTCTCATAATCGTTATTCTTGGCCATTCCCTGAAATCCCTTGAGAATGTTTATGGATCTCACCGGAGGAAACTGGCTGATTATTCCATCTTTATCAGAACTCTTATAGTGTCCTTGAGAGCGTCTATGAACATTGCTCACCGCTCTCATTGCCCCCCCCCCCCCCCCCCGGCGGCATGTCCATGTCAATATGTGCTTGTTTGTGCGAGGTGTTTTTCAATATTAGAGTTTTTCTTCTCAGCCAAGAAGAAAGAGTTTAATAGGAATTTTTTCGCCTCCAATTTCTACATGTGTCCAGTTTCACTACTTTTTGTCTGTCTAAACAGATCTCACTTGTAAACAAGTCTTCTAGGCTCAATGTGACTTATTTGTCTAAATAAAGGTTGCATGAATGAATGAATGTGCAGGACTAATGATATATTTGTGGTAATTGTTTTTTTTTTTTAAACTGCAGCACAAGAACATTATACAAAAAATATCAATCACATTTTGCAGCACTAAAAGTGAAATATTTTATAAATTTTACTCAAATTAACTGAATAAAACGCATCTTTTTGTAATATTTGTTTAGGTAGATTTAATTGTTTTATTCAGACTTGTGGCATTGTGTTAATATTATAAATAAAACTTTTGTGTAAATAACTTTAAACTGGGAAGAATTCGGCCTTCAATCACATATGGCTAATATGAGAAATTTAAAATATGTTGAATTACTGCTGTTATAAGTGCACCTAATTTATGGTATAAGTACACCTAATTTATTCAAGAGTATTAAAAAAATCTCTAAAGTACATTTTATTTTTTAACATTTCCGGGACCAGAGTTCTCTGCTGTTTGATTCCTATTTTTGCCACATAGTTCATTCATCACTATGCCATCTGTAATATTAGGGAAGATTAAATATATATATATTTTTTTACTGATTTTAAATATTTCTCATTTGTCAAAACATTTCTGAGTGAATATTGTCCTAACAGAGTAATACCAGCAGAGTGCAGTAGTAGCACAGAAAAACTGGAGCTTCCTGAAAGCATCACTCTGGTGCAGTCAGCAGCAACACTTCCAGACTCAGCCAGCAGGGGGCAGTCTAACACTCCATTAAACAAGGCTGGGGGGAAATAAGACTCTTCCAGGGTCCAACAGGTCACTGCCCTTCAGGCTGCTAAATGCACAGTTCTGTAAATTAAATGAAATGATTTATTTTTGCCAAGCTTTCCAAGTTTAACTGTGTGTTTGCTATTTATGAGCCACTGGAAAATTGTGAAACAACAAAAATATGAATTTGCAAATCAAAGATGTTTTTCTCATTACTTTCCTTTTGTAGCTTAAACACCACGTCCTGTCACTTTTCTCGCCTTCAAATGAGCTTTCCCCATGAACCGCATTACTTCAGCTTGTTACATGCTATAATTAAACCTCAGCCGACAAACTAAACATTTATGCTGAATTACAGTTATTTCAGTGTCGGAGCGACACTGTCATCAAAACCTGTTTAATGGCTGAGCGTCTTTGTGCAAGTGGTGTTTGTGAGGATTTCATTAGAGGTGATTAGTTTTATCATTAGCAGTTCCCACTTGAGGAACCAATAAAAAAAAGACATCTTGAACAGTGCTCATTATAGCCCCAAAATAAACAAATTCAACCACAATATGATGGATATGCTTCTGTGACACAAACACACACAGTTACCTTTGAAAGGCTTCAAGTCTGATCATACATTACATGAGATACAAATAAAGCACAAATCACACATGTCTGGGCATGAAAACATAGATTAACATTTGCTCCTTTAGTACCACTGCTAATGACTGATGTGTAGCCTGATTCAGATTATGTAATATGCAGTTCAAATGGACTATCAGATTAGATTACCAACCCCCTTACATGTAACAGTACTTTACTTGTACTGTCTCTGACATTATACCATGCCATGCTAAGATTCTTCCTCACAAAATACTACTTGACTACTCTGTTTTGGGGCCATTGCTGTTGCTGCTCTATATCTGCTCCCTCTTTGTCCGATACTTTCATCTTTTATGAACATCTCCTATCATTGTTATGCTGATGACATCCAGTATTTCTTTACTTCCAAATGAACTTTCAAAACTACACATTTTACTTAACTGTTTGGATTCAATTAAAAGCTGGATGAGTGAAAGTTTTTTTTTACAGCTAAATAGAGAAAAAAACTGAAGTAATCATCTTTGCTCCAGAAAAAAAATACTGCAATGATAAAGCAGATCCTTGGGCTTTTTTGTCATTTAGCTAAATCCTCGGTTAGAAAACTTGGGATAACATTTGACTCAGGTTTTACACTGGAAAGTCATGTAAAGTCTCTGGTTCATTCCTGTTTCTATCTGTGAAATATTGCCAAGCTTAGCCATACTGTTTCTCGTCCAGAATTGTAAATGTTAATTATTTTATTTAGTCTCGGCTGGATTTTTGTAATGCACATACACTTGTTTAACCAAAACCTAGACCGGATGCAGAATGTGCAGAATGCTGCTGCTAGACTCCTGACTGGATCTTCAAAATTTTGTCATATAACTCCACTTCTAAAGCAACTCCCATTGGCTCCCAGTTCATTATCGAGTGGATTTCAATGTTTTGGTTTTGACTTGGCGAGCTCTGCATGGACAGACACCAATATACATTTCTGAACTTTTCCATCCCTACACCCCGATCAGGGCTTTGAGGTCCTGCGATCAAGACCTGCTGAAACTGAAAACTAAAGGAGTCAGAGCCTTTTCTTCTGTGGCTCCAAGACTCTGGGACTCCCTTCATCAAACTCTCTGGTCAGCGGACTCAGTAGCTTCTTTTAAAGGACAGCTAAAACCTCTTCTTTTTAAATCTGCCTTGGCTTAAATTTGTTTTGTGCACTTTTTTGTTTTGTTTGTCGAAGCACTTTGTGATTTTTATCTTGAGAAGCGCTGTATAAATCAAATTTGACTTACCATACTTACTTACTTACAGAGAACGGAGAGCTGACATCAGCTGTGTCTTATCTCAAGTAGATTCCTAACGGCATACAAGAAAAACTTGAAATGGATGGATCAATGGAAAGGGGGAAAGGTAGGAGAGCACATGCCGTTGTTTGGTAAAAATACTCAGAATTCACGATGATAACTTGTTTCTGCACCTCTTCTGAAGATTTGACTTGAAAATCACGGAGGGTTAGCACAGCTGTTCATGCACTGCATGAGCGACAAACATGTTGACCTTCACGTGTACCTTGCAGCTGATAAGATCACTGGATTTGTGGCCAGTTTCCATGAATCTGGTCAGTGGTTGGTGGGAATACAGAGACAGAGGAAAAACAACCAATAATACATGGATTAGGGGAGAAACTTTCAAGAAGACAAATAAAAGAGAAGCAGTGAACTCTCATTCTGATGAGCACTTTTCAATCATCCTGAAGT